CTCAATATGAGCTTCACAAATGTTTAGATTCCTTAAGAGTCTGGCTGATACAGCAGATCTTTAATAAATCTTGTTTTTGACTGAAAGAAGGCTTGGGTTGAATTTATTCTGGCAGGACCCACATATCGTGATTTTGGGGTCCCAGCACTCTTAAACTTCTAAACTTCAACAATTACATTTCAATTTGGATCCAGTTGCAAGCGCATAGGTTGTGTTTGACACCTTTGATAGACAACACTCTAAATCACCAAGTTTTCTAATCTAGGAGTTCCCTATATCAAAGAAATCATAACTTGAGATTCTATCCCTGTTTTTAAAGCACTGCTCCAGAGTTCAGAGGACCCAAACATATCTGCTTTCAAGGAGCTTGTAGCCAATGAGAGTGCTTATAATTATGTGCTTCTTTTCCCTTAGAAGCTACACAAGGGAGAGGTTTCCTTCCTACTGGCCTTTTCACTACAAAATTCACACCTTGTGTTGAAACAGCATTTTTTTAAAGAGTGAAAAGTGGCCTCTTAAGAATCTACACAATTGAAATTCAAAGTCTTATAGAAGTGAATGTTGAAAACTAAAAATGAATAAATAAATACATGAAATTCAAGGAAAAAAGAATTTACACAATCAACTCCATTTTGTTCTCTATTTGCCATTTCTGCTATGTGATGTCTCAGCATGTTCTTCAGGGATAGCATAAAGCAAAACATCTGTCTCATAATCCCTTCTTTGCCCTCATCCTTCCCAGACAAAATACCCGCCTTGTTCATATCTCCCTTAATTCATATTATCTTCCCTATTAAAATGTAAGCTCAGACCTGTCTCCTATTTTGCTGTCTCATCTCATTATACACAGGTATCCCTATTGGCAAGGACAGTGCCTGGCATACAATAGGCATTTAGTAAAGGGTCAGTCAGTCAATAAACATTGACTATGCCCCTACTATACTAAGCACTGGGGATACAAAAAGAGTTCCAGACCTGGAATCAAGAAGAGCTGAATTAAAATTTGTCCTCAGACATATATGAGTCATATGACCCTGGGAAAGTCACTTAGCCAGTGTCTGCCTTGGTTTCCTCAATTGTAAAATGAAAATCCTGATAGCACCTACCTCCCAGGGTTGTTGTGAAAATCAAATGAGATAATATTTGTAAAGTGCTTAGCACAGTGCCTGACACATCAGAGATACTTAATAAATGCTTCTTCCCTCCCTCTCCCTAAGCAGCAACTATAATAAAGGGTAGAAAATCTGAGTATCTCATTCTAAAATGCAAAAGGCAAAAGTTGCAGCTAAGGATAGCTTATCCTACAAAACTGAGTATAGTTTGGGACATGATGATTAATAGAATAAAGTACTTTCAGGCATTCCTGATAAAAATATCAAGCTAAGTAGAAACTTTGAAATGAAAACATTTTTAATCATCTCACCTTCTCCACCTCACAATCCCAAGATATTCCAGAACCCATCTGGAAACAGCTGCCACTACCAGAGATGCCTCCTCTCTTACCATCCCCCACTGTGTGGGATGCTGTCTATTAAAGGGCAATGACAAAAACCAATCTTGTACCTTCAGGCTTGGATCCTTTTCACCGTATGCTGGTTACATGAAAGACCACAATTAGTGAATGATGAATAAAACATTTGTGCAAACAAGTAAAAAAAAACAAATTGGAGAAATTATAGAGTAGAATATAACAGAAAATACAGAGACTAAATGATCTCATTAGAAGGTAGTAAAATCTCTTCAACCAAGACAAAGAAATTTCAATTTCACCCAAGGGAAATTCTCCAAAGTCTCTAGGGAGACAATCACGAAATCAGGAACATGTGATAGAGCTGCCATTCCTCTGCAGATTGACTTCCAAAGTCTTTTCTCTCTCTTTCTCTCTCTGCCCCCCTCTCTCTCTTTCTCTCTCTCTTTCTCCACAGTGTGGCAGACTGAATATCGTGTTTATGCTTCGGGGGCACTGATCTCAAAAAGTAGTGTTAATAGTAAAGCTCTTGGCACTTTTGGAGTTGTCTGAAATGATGAGAAATAATCAATCTTGACTTTTTAAATGACCACTCTGTGGAGATTATGTGGAACTGCGTACGTCTATTCTTGAATTAGGAATGAAAAGTGTCTTTTCTCTCTAATGTACCTGTACCAACAATGCCCCTCTCACAAGCACTCGACATCAAGAAATTATTCTCTCTTCCAAGGAGGAGAATCTTATGTAAATGCTCTGGGCTTGAAAGGAGGGTTACATCAGAAATACAAAGTTTATTCACTATCAGGGAAACAATTAACATGATATATCACATTAGTAACAAGAACCACACATATAATAAAATCATGTGATTATATCAACAGAGAAAGAAAATTTTTTGATAAGATGCAGCACTTAGGGACAGCTAGGTGGTGCAGTGGATTGGGCACTGGTCCTGAACTCAGGAGGACCTGAGTTCAAATCTGGCCTCAGACCAAACACTTGGCACATACTAGCTGTGTGACCCTGGGCAAGTTGCTTAACCCCAATTGCCTAAAAGTAAATAAATAAATGAATAAAATGCAGCACTCATTTTTCTTAAAAACACTGAAAATATATGAATAAATTGGTATTTCCTTAATATAATAAGTAATGTCTACAAAAACCAAGAGCTAATATTATATGCAATGAGGAAAAATTAAAGCTTTTTCCAATAAGATCAGGGCTAAAGTAAGACGATCTATTATCACCATAAATATTTGGTACAATGCTAAAAATTCTAGCTATATAAAAAAGAGAGAATTCAAGAAATCGAGAAAGAAAGAAGTCAAGAAAGAAAGAAATCAAGAAAGAAATTAAGAAAGACAGGAAGTCAGTAGCAAAGTCAAAATTATCAGGCAACTAGGGGGTACAGTGGATACAGTGCCAGGCCTGGAGTCAGAAAGGCCAGAGTTAAATCTGCCCTCAGATACTTACTAGCAAGCCATGTAATCTCTGCTTCAGTTTCCTCAGGTGTAAAATGAGTATAATCACCTACTTCCCAGGGTGGTTGTGAGGATTAAATGAGATAACAGGTGTAAAACGCTTAGCAGAGCGTGCCTAGCACAGAGTAAACACAAAATAAATGTTACCTATTACTACTGTTATTATCATTTTTGCAGATGATATAATGGTTTTCTTAGTGAAGCCTGGAAAGTCAACTAAAATTAATGGAAAAAAAAAATAGCTTGAGGCAGCTACCTGGCACAGTGGATACAGCACTGGCCCTAAAGTCAGGAGGACCTGAGTTCAAATCTGGCCTCAGACCAAAGACTTGACACTTACTACCTTTGTGACCTTGGTCAAGTCACTTAGCCCCAATTGCCTAAAAATAAAAAAATTAAAATTAAAATTAAAAAAAATAGCTTCAGCAAAATTGCATGATATAAAATGAATCCATACCAATCACTAACATTTCTATAATATAAACAAAACCAGCACAAAGAGATATTTTTCTTCATTGAAAAACAATTTGCTTAACAAAAGAGAAAACATTTACCATAAAATCAGCTGCTACTTAGACTCATAGTGGCCTAGGTACTTTGCCAATACAATTGTCTTATACCAAGGCTTTCAATTTGACTGGGTTCATTACTGGGGGACCTTGACCTCTAATTAGGAGAATTGGGCTTCTCATTCTTATATTCAGGGGCTTGCTAAGAAAGATTCAGAATCCAAGGGAAAATGTTACTTTTGGCTATAGTATGGGGTTTCCCGAAAAAGAGGAAAGTAAAAGAGGCACTAATGCACAATATGAAGCAAGTGATGGATAGTGCCTGAGACAGAATAAGTGTTTAATCATTCCTTAAATCATTGTTTGAATGATTAATCTTTAATCATTGATGATCAGTCATTTATTATAAAATAGAAAGTCAAGATAACCCTGAAAGAATCGCATCATGCTTTACAGAGTGACTTAAACTGGATTCAGTAACTTGTAACTACTAGTACAATTACCTGGAAGGCTAATTGGACATTAAACAGTTTCCAGGACTGCCAATGAGACTTGTTACACTTCACCTCCTGAGTGTCATCTGATCAAACTCTGCTGATAAAAGATCAGGCTTGGGCTGTCTCCTAGTGGTGGCTGTTCTAATACAAAAGCTTCTCTGGACACCAGCTTTCTTCTGCTGCTGCCATAACTGTAACTACTCTAGCACATGTTGTCCTTGCTGCCAGAATATTCTTGCCATTCTGCAACGGCAACCACTTGGGTTCATAAATCAGGTGCCATTGTTCATAAATCTCCAGACTTTTTGAGATAGCCATATTTCCTGCTAAGGGAAAGGCAACACAGAAGGCAAAGGCAATTGTGGGTCCCAGCTCAAGCTCACCTGATCATGTCATCACTTCTCCCTTTATCCCCCGACAAACACACCTGCTACCGCATGAACAGACCACCATGAAGTAAGATGGAAAAGGACCTTGTCCTCTCCCTCCCTCACTGGAGCCATATCTTGCTATGTGGAGTGCTGAAGCCTTGAGGTCACTGACCAGAAAACATCTCTTCTTTTAATGGATGTGGCACTGTTGAGTTATCAGTTCTTCCAGCTAAGCAGCCAATTAGAGGACCTTTTATGATGAATCATACATGGCTGGAAGCCAGCCATCCAGAGCTCCACATCATCCATCAGACTCAGGCAGAGAATATCTACTAATGTTCTATACAAACCCATGAGCAAGGCTATGATAAGAGGGATCCCTCCTTTTAATATATACTTCTTCCTACTCCAAACCTATTACTTCCCACATTCTCCTCCTTTTTTATATCCCTTGTGTAAGACCCTTATTCCTACTGCTTCTACCTGAGTCCTTAGCATTATCCAGTTCTTACATCAATGGCTAGCGCAGCAGGACTCTTCCCCACCTTTAATGCTACCCACCGAGAGATTGGGGTTTTTTTCTCTGTCCCTGTGGCCCTTGGTCTATAACTCTTCTCATTCCCTTATTATGGTAAGTTCTTATGGTAGAAACACACTGTTAGAGGTCAGTCTTATTGAGTTGAATTATAAAAGAACTTTATTGCAAGTGAGTGGTAAGGATATAAGGCACACACCAGATAATTACAGAGTAATTACAGAATCCAGGTTTCTCCCTCTAGTTTCAGATATAAATCCTATCCATATTTGTTGGTTTAGAATAGATACTCTTGGGAAGATACACAGGTCAGTTTATCAACCAGGTGTCTAAGTATTCTCATTAATGTTCCATTCTGTTCTAGGAGCAATGGGGAAAATGGAAGTCTGAAGCATGATTTCACCCTCAAAGTGCTTACACTCTTAGGAAGACTAAATAGAACAACAACAAATATTACAATGTAAAGTGTTATTAATTGTTAAATCATGCAGTATGGTTTTTTAAAAGCTGTAGGATTCCAAAGTTTAGTGGGGGATAGAACAGTCAGGAAAGGCTTCATGAGGCAAGTGGAATTGTATCTGGACCTAGAGGGCTGGGTAGGATAAGTGGAACAAGACAGGAATGGGAAATTCCAGGCAAGGAGATGACATGATCAAGAATACTAAGATGGGAATTAGCACAAGGAGTTGGGCATGGGTGAGATTGAATGCAGACTGAGTGAAACAGAGACGGGTGTCAGGGAACAATGGTTTAGGTAAGGTGAGGTAAGATTATGAGTGGGGAGGGCAGGCAATGCATCCAGATTGAACTTGGCATGATGACAAATAAAAGCCATTAAATGTTAAGTGTCAATGCAATTAGATCACTGTCTAAAAATTCAAAATGCTTAAATTGTATTGAATTGGGAAGACGGAATAGGATTGTTAGTTCTGACCACCTCCGTAACCTAAATTCTTTTTTCCTTCCTCTTTCCAACTTCCTCTCTGCCAGGATTCTAGAAGCCAAATCAATCCATCAATGATCAACAGATGGTCCTCTCCTCAGGTCCTTGCACTCTCACTGGTTCCAGTTAGGCTGTGAGAGCATGGATTCTGCTACAGTCCCCTGGGGTAAGACTGAGCCAAGGGAAAGGTCAGACTAGATACCAACCATCATCTCTTAGTTTCCACTAAATGAAATTTGTAATTCTCTAAGATTTAAGAACTTCTCATCTCTAAGCAGTGGTAAACCAATCAGTGACCTCCAAGAAGGACAAGGGACCAACCAAGAAGGACCCAGGAGTCTACATGTATGTAACTGCATCAAATAAGGAAGTGACTCGATTTTATAAGAATTTATTTATTTGTCAGGTATTGTATTAAGCTCTGGGGATACAAAGATAACAAAAACAAAAACCTCAAAAAAGTCTCTGTCCTAAAAAATCTTACTGTATTGATGGTGGGGGTGGGATCAGGGATGGGGAAAACCACATACATAGGGAATTAAATATAAAAGGTATACAAAGTAATTTCTAGGAGGAAGAGCACTAGCAATTGGTGGTATCAGGATAGGCTTTCTTAGCTGAGCTAGGAAAGAAGCTAGGATTCTAGAATGCATCCCAGACACAAGGGAACAGCCTATGCAAAGACATGGAGGCTGCACATGAAATGTAGATCAGAAATTAAATGTCTTGTATAAAGAACAGCAAAAAGACCTCTTTGGCTGCAGTGTAAAGCATATACAGTGCCAATTCTGAAGGGTTTTTCAAGCCAGAGCAGCTTGTATTTTATGCTAGAGTTTCTTGAGGAGGGCAAGGATATAGTCACACCTGTGCTTTAGGAAAACTTGCCAGCTGTGTGGAATGTGGACTAAAGAGGGGGAAGTGATTTAATGGAGTCTATTGCAATCATCCAAGTTAGAGATGATAGAGGGCTAAACCAGTGTGCTAGCCCTGTGAGTGGGGAAAAGGGAAAAGGGGACTGACACATCATATATTGTGGAGAAAGAATCTACAAGACTTGGCAACTGACTGAATGTGAGGAGTGAGGGAAACAAAAGAGTAGAAGATGATTGGAATTATGAATCTGGGTGACTGGAAAGATGCTAGTGCCCTTAGCAAAGATAGAGAAGTTACGGGAAGGAGGAGCAGTCTGGGGAAAAGATAATGTGCCCTTTTTTGGACATGTTGAGTTTGAAATGATTAAGGGATAGGAGAATCCAACAGGCAGTTAATGATGTGGGAAACTGCAGATCATCAAGAGACTAGGGATGGATATCTGTATCTGGGCATCATCTGTATAGAGGTGATAGTTGAATGCAGGGGAGTTCGTGAGATGACTAAATTACTCAACTGAAGAGAATATCAGGATTGGAAGAAGCGGGGCCCTTAACATGAGTCACCCTAGGGAGCCTACAGGGAAATTAGAGATCAGACCAGGATGTCTGCTATATAAAATGATGAGATTGAGGGGAAGTCATCAAAGAGAAGGCACAGGTGGAATCAATCAGAAGTCCAGGCAGCTAAATGGAGGGATGAACAGATAGATGAGGTGCTCAGACAGGTGATGAAAGGCAGCGTCTTCAGCCAGACGAAGGTCAGGGATAGGAGCTGGGCTCTTGTGTTCCTCCTCACTTAGAAAGCTGTTACCTGCAGCAAGAGAAGATTTATAAGAGAACAGCCTCTGTTCCCATGGTAATTCTTCCAACACCTCCACCGCTACTGCTTTTGTGATTCCTGATTCTCCCCATCATCACAGTATTGCTTTATCCTTTACTCTTACCTCCAGGTCTCTCTACTTCCTCACTCCCTTTCTATCACTTGATTCACAGAGGCCCTTGATGTTGGATCCTGCTGCTGGAACGCATGCCCCTGATTATGAGGATGGTGCCCACAACGATGCCCACCAGGCCCACAGCCAGACCAAGGGCACAGACCACAGTTTCTGTTGTCTCTGGCAGTGGGGATGGAACCTGGGGCTCTGAGGAGGAAAAGGAAACATGGAGGGAGAGGATAAGTATCCTTGAGATGTACAGAATACAGTAATTCAGATTCTTGGAGGAAGGCAGTATTGGGACCTTGAGATGCTTTATTCATATAGGAAAGACTATTTGTGGGAGGAAAACTACAGATGGCACTAGTGGGTCCTTGGAGGGAAGTAGTGACAAAGGGAGAGATAAGAAAAAGAGGAGCTATAGTAATATATCTATAGAAAGAATTTTATCATTAGCATTCACAATGACCCTGTGTAGATTGGCAGATAGCATTGTCTCTATTTTGTAAAGGAGGACACATGCTCAGATAATTAAGATCTTGCATGAGATCATATAGTTGGTTGATGGAAGGCACAAGATTAGAACTCATCTCTTTGGATTCCTAGTCCAGGGACATTTCTACTTTACCAGGACAAAAGCTCCATACCCCAGTGCTTGAGAACTGGCTGCTCCAGGCCCCAGTGCTCCACTTTGCAGTCATAAAAGTCTTCTGTGTTAGGGAGAAAAGTGAGGTAGTGGAACTTGCGGAACTTGTAGTCAGACCGAGGGTAGAAGTCTGTCTCAGACACACCTACAGTGACCAACTGTCCATTACGAAGCCACGTGATGTTGACCACTGGGGGAAAGATGTTGTCCACCAAGCAGATGAGTATGTTCGGCTGACCCATCTCCACGGGACTCTCTGAGAACACAGTCACCTCAGGAGGCACTGAGAACAGAAAGGGGAGGTGCTCACCTAAGGACCTTCATACTCCACTGAGCCCTTTAAATAGGACTGATCCTGAAAGCTCATTCTCCAGGGGTTCATTGAACTCCTTTATTTTGTAACCCCCTGCCCTGCTTCCCCAACCCCTCTAGTAACACTGCTCTGTGTAGGGAAAAGCCCCATGGAGACAATATTTGTGAATGCTGGGACAGGCATTCTGTGGAGTCTGGAAATGTGTCAGGATGACTAGCAGGGCTGGGGTGACATGATGAATGGAAAATGGGGAGAGGAGGCTCTGGGTGACCTGATGACTTCTGGTGTTAACCATGGTGGGAGAATTCCAAAGAGAAATACAAGGGTCCAGTTAGTAAGGAACCATAGGAACGGTAGACAGGGAAAGAGGATGAGGAAAGGGATCAATACCACTGATGGCCCTGGTTCTGTTGGAGCGTTTGATCAGGATGTCCAGGTTGTGCTTGGCTATGTCTATGTTTCTCAGCCCTCCCTGAGGGTCAAAGCTGGCAAAGTGGCTAAACTCTGGCAGCCGCCATACAGTCTCCTTCTTCTGCAGGTCCACATAAAACAACTCATCTCCATCAAATTCGTGTGTATACTGGCCTGAGGGCCCATAGGACTGGTACATATGTGTGCCATGGACCCCCACGTGGTCAGCTTAGAGGATGGGAAAACAGGAGAGAAGAAAGAAAACATGATTACACTTGTGATCATAATACACCAAGGATCCATGTTCTGACATAAGGACACCAGGACAGGTGTTTACCATAGCACCTGAACCAGAGAGGATTAGATGATAAGAAACTTGTCACCTGAGGACAGGCTTAAGTCATGTCCCAATGACTTCAGGCAGTTGGTAAGAGTGCTGGACCTAGAGTCAGGATGACTTGAATTCAAATTCAGCCTCAGACTCTAGCTATGTAATTCTCAGCAAGTCATCAATCTGACTCAGTTTTCTCAACTGTAAAGTGGGGGTAACACTAAGACCTACCTCTTAGGATTGTTGTGAGGATCAAATGAAATAATACTTATAAAAATGCTTAGCAGAGTGCCTGGCAGACTGCAGGTGCTATATCAATGCTTATTCCTATTCCCTTCCTGGTTTTTACCTGGATCCTGCAATCCTGTGTCCCATGTATCTCCTTTCTTTTCATCCTATAACATCTATTCTTGCTTATTTAGATTATGTGTCTCAATAGAGAGTAAGTCAGTGGGAGGTGTCAGAGAGCAGAAAACTAAGAAATAAGGCATTTAATCCTTAATCAATATGTCTTTTATGTCTGCTGTGTGCATAAAGAATTGTGCTGGTCATTAGTGAAGGCTGAAAGATCCCTTCCCATATGGAGTTTAGAGTCCTGTAGAGGACATGCCATCAGCCCAGCAATGATCCATTAGTAGGTGATGTCTGGGGTGGGGCATGAAATGACTGAAACTGCAAACAAAGAAGTAGGAAATTGAATGCAAGTCACGTGCTCTTGCCCACCTGTTTCCATGTTGGGCCACTCCTTTGGGACTGGAGGTACAATGTAAGGCCATTTAGGAACTAAGCTAAGCCACCTTCCCATGCTCCACATCCCTAATCTCAATCACTTGGGATCTATCTGCCTCTTAAGAGTGTGAGATGAGTTTATGACACCGCCCTGGGCTCCCCTGAGGGAATGAGATCCCATAGATGGACAAACACTAAGGAACTTCAGGATCCACAGGAAGGAACCTGTAGGGAGTCTGTCTCTCCAACCTGCTCTATTGACATTTCCCACCCCATCCCTCTATCTCCCTCCTTGCCTTCCCCATCAGTGACTTTTGTCACAAACTTACCTTCAATGGATTCGGAAGCTCCTTGGGGACTCAACAATGAGGTCAGTGTGAGGGTCCCTAGGATCAGGACTCTGTTGGCAGCCATTCTGTCAGGGGCTTCTCTTTGCTAATACCCACAAGTAATGGGATACAAGGCAGGGAAGCACATATCAGGTAGAAGGGAAGAGGTAGGGCAAGACTTCACAGGGAGGAGCCAGAGCCATGTGCAACCAATCAGAAAAATCTCTTCAGTTGACCTCTCTGTTGCTGGGTAAAAAGGTTCTGGAAGAGACCTGTATGGCAATTCAGGAAGTTCACTTTGTCTAGCTAGCCCTTATGCAACAATCATCCAACCAATTTACAAACATGTATTAAGTGCCTACTGTATGCCAGACCCCTGGAGACACAAAGACCTTGACTTTAAGGAGTTTACATTTTATTGGAGGAGAAACAAAACAAGTATGTAAAAATATATATTTACAAAGGAAATACAAGGCAATCTGTGAGGTAGGGATGGCATTAATATCTGGGGGGGGGGGAATGGAAGTAGGAAAGGACTGATGTACGAGGCGGTCCTTGAACTTTAAAGGGATTCTAAAAGTTTTCCACCTTTTAGGGGGTAATAAGGGAGTACATTCAAGACATGTGGGACAGTAAGGTGTGGGAGACAGTAAATAAGCCAGTTTGGCTATACCATATAGTGCGTCAGGTGAGTAATGTGAAAATTATGCTGAAAAGGTAGACTGGATCCAGACTGTGAAGTGTTTCAAATGCCAAATGAGGCATTTGTGATCGATCAAAGGGAAATGGGAAATGTCTAGTGCTTCTTGCTAGCTAGCGCAGTGGGTAGAGCACTGGACTTGAAATCAGGAATATCTGCGCTCAGGCTAGCTGTGTGGCTCTGGGCAAGCCACTTAAACCTATTTGTAATCAGTTCATTATCTGTAAAACAGGGACTAACTGGGGAAGGAAATGGCAAAGCACTCCAGTGTCTTTGCCAAGAAAACCCCATGGACAGTCAGACCCAACTGATCAACAGTGCTTCTTAAACAGGGAATGACGTGGTCATATAAACATTTAGCAACTGTGTGAAGCACCCTTGAGAGTCTAGGATACAGGGAAAGCAGACTGAGAACATAGGACTGTTTGTATGATACTCCTCTGCCCAACACATTTGAAATACATCCTAAATTGAACCATTATTTTTCACACAATAAATATTTACTGGGCATCTAACAGGCAGATAAACATAAATGCCCTGGGAGTGGCAGCATCCCCCACACCATCAGTCTTCCTTATAGCCCAAGCCATCACATCCATAACTAGGGAAGTAACTCCTGTAGAGAAGCAGCCAGCCATCTCTACCATCTGCCTACCAACTGTCAACCCAGGGCAGGCAAGCCAGCCTAGCTGAAACAACAAGACATTCTAAGGGAGGCAGCATGTGCCAGGCAAATCAAACTACAGTCACCACCTTGACCACCATTTTTCCTCTGACCCTGAAAGAAATAGTCCAAGACCTGAACCCAAGAGCCTCAGGAGTAGCAAAGTTTCCAGCCAAATGCCCTCACTCATTATCTTGGGAAGATGTCACCTGGTAACTGCTCCTGAAGGTGCCACAATCAAATCTTTTGAAGATCCAGAAAAGAAAGTCCTTGACACCAAAGTCCTTGGCGATGTCAAATGGTTCAACATGAGAAGCTAGTATGATTTTATAGGTAAAAATTATATTAAAGAAGTGATTTGCTGTTCATATGACCTTCCTGTCTAAATTACAACTGAAATCTCCATATGTGTTGTTTTTCCATTAGAATGTTAACTTCCTGAGAGCAAGGATTTAACATTTATTTTTGTGCACTTATAAAATCCAAATTTTTTAATTTTATTTATAAAATACAAAATAGAAGAAAAAAAGAGCAAATGGTATGCTTCAATCTGTGTTCAAACTCCATAGTTCTTTCTCTGGATGTGGATAGCATTTTCCATCATGAGACTTTTGGAGATGTCTTAGATCCTTGCTGAGAAGAGCTAAGTCTATCAAAGTTAGTCATTGCACAAGGTGTCTGTTACCGTGTACAAAGTTCTCCCAGTTCTGCTCATTTCACTCAGCATCAGTCTATACAAGTCTTTCTAGGTTTTCTTGAAGTCTACCTACTCATCAATTCTTTTTTTTCCTTTTTTTAAATTAATTTATTTTTAGTTTTCAACAATCACTTCCATACACTTTTGAGTTTTAAATTTTTCTCCCTCTCCCTCCCTGCTTCCCTCCTGGAAGACAGTGTGCAATCTGATATAGGCTCTATATACATCCCTATTGAATATATTTTCACATTAGTCATGTTGTAAGGAAAAGTTAGAACCAATAGGAAGAACCACAAGAAAGAGGAAACCAAACAAAACAGAAGGAAAAAAGCTATTCTCACCCTTCATGCTTTTCTTTCTCCTTTCTCCCTTTCCCTCCTCACTAGTGTTTTGCTTTTCACCACTGCCTCCCTCAGTCCTGCCTCCCTTTTCTTCCCCTTTACCCTTACTACTTCTTTTTTTTTAAATTAATTTATTTTGATTTATCAGCAATCACTTCCATATGCTTTTGGGTTTAAAATTTTTCTCCGTATTTTCCACCACCCTCCCCAAGACAGCACACAATCTGATACAGGCTATACATATACATTCCTATTAAACATATTTTCGCATTAGTGTTGTTGTAAGTAAGAATTTAGAACCAATAGGAGGAACCACCAGAAAGAAGAAACAAAACTCAACAGAAGAAAAAAATAGCAAATAGTATGCTTCAATCTGCATTCAAACTCCGTAGTTCTTTCTTTGGATGTGGATAGCATTTTACATCATGAGGCCTTTGGAGATATCTTAGATCCTTGTATTGCTGGAAAGGGTTTAGTCTATCAATATTAGTCATCATGCAACATGGCTGTTATTGTGTACAATGTTCTCCAGGTTCTGCTTACTTCACTCAGCATCAGGCCATGCAAGTCTTTCCAGGTTTTTCTGAAGTCAGCCTGTTCATCATTTCTTATAGAACAATAGTATTCCATTACATTCATATACCACAACTTGCTCAACCATTCCCCAGTTGATGGGCATCCTTTCCATTTCCAATTCTTTGCCATCACAAAAAGAGTTGCTATAAATATTTTTGTACATGTGGGTCCTTTTCCCATTTGTATGATCTCTTTGGGATATAGCCCTAGAAGTGCTATTACTAGGTCAAAGGGTATGCATATTTTTATAGCCCTTTGGGTGTAGTTCCAAATTGCTCTCCAAAATGGTTGGATCATTTCACAACTCCACCAACAAGGCATTAGTGTTCCAATTTTCCTACATCTTCTCCAACATTCATCATTTTCTTGTTTTGTCATCTTGGCCAGTCTGATAGGTGTGATGTGAAGAGCCATTTTGATTTGCATTTCTTAATCAATTGTGATTTGGAACATTCTTTCATATGACTATAGATGGCAGGGCTTGTCTTAATATTCTATTTGTATCCCCAGCACTTAGCACAGTGCTTTGAACATAGTAAATGGTTAGTGATCTAAAAAAAAATTCATTCATTCATTTGTGTAAGTTGGCTGAAGTTTTTGTTTATTTTATGTGTATGTTGTGTGGTTTTTTGTTTTGTTTTTGTTGTTGATGTTGTTATTGATGAAAATATAGCACTAAACCAATCAGCCTTTGAAGCTGACAAATATGCATAATAAAGACAAGGAACACTCACCTTGCCTTTTGTTCTGATTCAAATTCATTTGCAAACCAAGCCCCAACAAGATCTGGGGGTTACATAACTGGAAGTATTCATTAATCTTAGTCTGTGACATTTGGGCTCATTTTTTTTAAAAACTGGGGTAGTAGTTACAACTAAAGTGCTATCAGTCTGTCCTTATCTGAGAGAGGTCCTGTCCACTATACCCTAGCAGAGTGAAGCTGAGATGTTTTGGAAGAGATGCATGCAGAAGTAGAAAGCAAAGTTTGGAAAAGAGTACACGCCCAGCAGTTAAGAGAGCTAGTTATCTGAAGCTGAGGAACAAAGGAGCAATCCACCCAGTGGAGACACCTTGGGACCAGTAATGTTAGACCCAAAGGGGAGATGCAGCTTTGGAGTTGTGAATGGCCCCTCCACACATGTCTCCTATGCACATGTACCTCATGTAGGTTCACTCTTGCCATTGATAATGTCATGTGATTGTGTGTATTTCATTGATGTATTTCATGGGACAATATTACTTGGGCTTATGGCAGAAAGTTCTATCGTAAATCTTCCAGCTGAAACTTCAAATGTTTTTGCTTTCAAATGAGTCATTTGTCTGACTAGAGCAAAAGTAAATATAATAGTAGAGACTTTGTGAATTATTGTTGGAGTGGATGTCAACTCTCACAATACACTGAATCTGAGTTAGCTACTTTGGGAGTTGATGTGTAAGAAAGGGTACAAATACATTGTATAAGCAAGACATTAACTGCCCCAGCTCAGGAAAGAAACGGTAAGGAGACCTCAGATTCAGTTTCTTCCTCCCTCTGAGATTGTTACTTTAAACACTCATCACACCCCTCCTCATGGATTGTGAACCACTGAAGATTACTTTAACCCTCTGATGAATACATGTGGTTATTATGAGTACTCCTTCCAACAAACAAATGAAAATCTGGTCTCTTCTTATAAACATTTCCCAAATATGCCATATAGGGCCCACTGTCCATGTTGGAGGCCTTCTCCAATGTCTTGACAATCTTTGAGAATTATTATCTGTCATTCTTTACTCTTACTATAAGACCAGCTCACCTCTTTTATTTTTCCATTTCTTGGATGATGTGTTTTATGTAATTTGTACATTAAGTCATTGCTGGTCATATGGTACAGTTGTACTTATGCCTACCATATATTGCCTTGCTGTCTTTTGGATGACTTTCAATTAATAGACCAGTTAAAAGCTATTGCTCTCCTTCTACCCACTGTTCTGTCCCTAAAACCAAAAGACTGTATGCCAGAAACAGCCAAACCTACTTATTGCCAGATCTCTACCTGGGGATCTTGTCCTCTGATAATGGTGTTCCATGGGTTCAAATGCTTTTACTAGCCTTATACCTGAATGGCTTACCTTGGATTCTGCAATCTTCCTAGACACATAGACACATAAACCACCATTTTATAAACCACCACTGGATACCTTTGGTCCAACATCTATCCCTCTTCTATTCCTTCCTAGTACAACATAGGAAGGTTTATTTTAATTTTCTTTCTTTTCT